AAAGATTATAAACACTTGTTGCAGTGAAGCAAACGACCAGTTAAAATAAAATAGACAATTTAGAACATATATTTTGGTACCACTATGGCCGCACCACAGCCAGGCCCGGGTGCCATAAACACAATTTCTTATTATTCTACCTAAGCTATATATCTAAAAAAAAAAATTAATGCTCAAAATCGTAAATTTTAAAATATAATAAGATTGATAACAACATAGTTGACAAAAAAAAATTGATAACACAAGTAGACGTGAGGAAGGCACAGTTCATGCCTGCAACAACTAAGGGGAAATATAAGATTTTGAAAAATGGCGTTGAGAAATGTAATTATTGATTATTATAAGCATATTAATAAGAATTTAGGAAGATAAACATGATTAGAATAATAAAAATGGAGAAAACTTCTTTCTTTTAATATATACAGACACACCGCCCCCTATTGTCGCTACAATAATGAAGAAAATTCTGCCAAGAACAAAAGAGTATATACCAGGAGTGATCCTTTGACGATAATAACATGAACAACTTGTTTCATTTTCTTATTATTTTCAATAATTGTTTTAAAATCTCCATAAGATTCTCTGACTATAAGAAGCCATTTGGTTGTATCTGAGATTAGTAGCACGAACGTGGGTCTGTCTTCTTCTTCTTCGTCGTCTAGCTGTTCTTTTGTGTTCATTCTGAAATGGAAGTTTCCACCATTTAAGCATAACCTTCCTCTTCTCCTCTGTTCTATGTTGGATTTGACTAAAGTTGCATCCTCTATCTCAACCAGGTAGCTTCAAATTCTGAGTTTCTTGTTTTACCCTTTAGTTTAGGTTTACGGGTTCGAATCTACTCACTTGGAGATTGACTTGGTTAATGTTGCATAGTCTTACTAAGTTTCTGTAACTGCATTGTGCTAAGAGTTGACTTTTTTTATTATTGGCTAGTTGAGTTTTAGCTTTTATGATCTTATATAATTAGACTTTCAGACATTTGACTTTTAAACTCTTGATCGGTATATCAAGATCTCTTGTCTGTACTTTAGGAAGAAGATATTGTTATGCAGTGTCTGAAATGGTTTGAGTGTGCAGGTAAAATCAAAAACAAGAAGAAAAAAAAAGATAAGACAATGAGTAGATCACAAGACAATCTTTCCCTTCCTCCATCTCTTACCGTCTTTGTGGCTCTTAGTGAGAGCAAGAAAAACAAAAACGTAGTTACATGGGCCCTTGAAAAATTTGCTCCTGAAGGCAATGTTGGCTTCAAGCTACTTCACGTCCATCCAAGGATTACTTGTGTACCTACACCAAGTACTAACGCTCCAACTCTAAAATTCATGTTTCTGTTTATTTGTAAAAAACTTAAAAGACTTTATTGTAACTGACAAAAGTCTGATGTTCATTTGTTGCTTCTTCTAAAGTGGGAAATACAATCCCTATATCCGAGGTACGAGACGATGTAGTAGCTGCATATAGACAGGAGATACTGTGGCAGGCTGAAGAAGTTCTTAAACCTTACAAGAAAATGTTTGAGCGGAGAAAGGTTGCAGTAGAAGTTCATGTGATCGAATCCGATAATGTGGAAGCTGCTATAGCTGAAGAAGTTACTCGGAGTTCAGTAGAGAGACTTGTCATTGGAGGCTCATCACGTAGCTTTTTCTCAAGGTATAACAACACTACACACCAATGAGCTTGCTAGCTTTTGAACCTTTCTATTGTTTTTGGTTTGTTGTACTAATGAATCTGTCTTTGAATAATATGCAGGAAAGCTGATATGTGCTCGGCGATATCAGCTTTGGTGCCGAACTTTTGTACAGTCTATGTTGTTTCAAAAGGCAAATTGTCATGCGTCCGACCATCAGACTCAGATGGAAATGCAACTATAAGAGATGATGGTAGTGAAAGAACTGACTCCTCCAATGGTTCTTCCGGTCCCAACTCAGGTATATAGACTCATCAATGTATTTTTGCTTTGTTCTAAAAATCGGTTTAGGCCGCGCCTAGTCGCTGAACGAATCGATTTTCTTAAAAATAAAATATAAACGTTCAAAAAAATCTGTCTAGGCACCCGCATAAACAATAATCTTCTAATATAAAACGCTTAACCACCGTCTAGCATTTCTTGAACATTGGTATTTTGTATGAATATCCTACCATACATAAGTGTGTAGGTCTAACAGTTAGTTATACACCATTTCTCTTCTAGAATCAACAGATGGAGTTTCAAGCACACTTGACTCTCAATCTCGTGCTCTATCCCTTCCAGTCAGGAGATATCAACATGTCCAGGGAATGGCTAGACAAGCATCAATTCCAATGGACACAAGTTCTGTTGGCTCAGATGACACCAGGCGCATGTCTATGGATACTGAGGAAGCTAAAGATGTTTCAAGTATCAATAGAAGCAGCACTGACACTACATCACGTTGGACTCCACGGCTTAGAGATTATGAGGAGAGAAAAGACGCTATGAGTTCTTCATCTAGCAACCGTGAATATGGGAATGCTGGTGGTAAGTTTAGTTGGACTGGTATGATGATTGATACCACTCACTCTAGGGCTTCTCAACAAGCTTCCAACATGTCTGATAATCTCAGTGAACATTCTTATACAGATACTAACCAGGTATTTAAAATGGACTTTTAAATAGCAATTTCTTCTAAAATGGAATAATAATAATAATAATATAAGGTTGTTTGTTCAGGTAAACCTAAGCTTTGAGGTTGAGAAGTTGAGAGCTGAGCTTAGACATGTTCAAGAAATGTATACTGCTGCTCAAACCGAAACCTTTGATGCTTCTCGAAAGGTGAAATATAACTTTGCATTAGATGAGAAAACTATGACTAGTTTTTTATTTTCTCAATATTGTTATAATGTTACAGCTTGGTGAGCTTAACCAACGTCGGCTAGAAGAAGCCATAAAGCTTGAAGAGCTAAAGCTAAAGGAGTACGCAGCTCGAGAGTTAGCAGAAAAGGAGAAACAGAATTTCGAAAAGGCGAGGAGAGATGCAGAGAGCATGAGAGAAAAAGCTGAGAGAGAAATTGCACAGAGAAGAGAAGCTGAGAGGAAAGCCGCTCGTGATGCTAAAGAGAAAGAGAAGCTTGAAGACACACTTGGCTCTCCACGGCTTCAGTATCAGCACTTCACTTGGGATGAAATTGTGGCTGCCACTTCATCATTCTCAGAAGAGTTGAAGATTGGAATGGGAGCTTATGGATCTGTTTACAAGTGTAATATGCATCATACAACTGCAGCTGTCAAAGTTCTACATACCGCTGAAAGTGGTCTGTCCAAACAGTTCCAACAAGAGGTATGAAACCAGGCTTAAATTTCAATTCTATCTTGTGCCTCGGTGTTCGGTTTTCGGTTCCGCTCCGGTTTGTTTCTCGGTTTTAATGATATAAAAATCATTCGATTATTTATAAAATTTAGTTTGGTTTTAGTTCGGTTATTTTGATTCTTAATTTGGTTCGGACAACAATGTTAGGAATAGGCTAATAGCTGTCTAATTCTGTTTCAGATCTTTCCGGTAATTTTTAATAATTTTGGTAAAAATTGGGGTTTTGGTTCGACTCTGGTTCGGTTTTCGATTCTCGGATTATATGCCCATGCCTATTGGTGCTCATACTCAATGGAAGATGTCTGTTTTAGCATAGAAGTCTTCTCTTTTCTAAGTACTTACATTTATTTCTATGGTCTCTACCTTGCAGCTTGAAATCTTGAGTAAGATTCGGCACCCACACTTGGTACTCCTTCTAGGAGCATGCCCGGAGCAAGGAGCTTTAGTTTATGAGTACATGGAAAACGGTAGCTTGGAGGACAGACTATTCCAGGTCAACAACAGTCCACCACTCCCGTGGTTTGAGCGGGTTAGGATCGCTTGGGAAGTAGCTGCAGCTCTTGTCTTCCTCCACAAATCAAAACCTAAACCCATCATTCACCGTGATCTAAAACCGGCAAACATCTTACTTGACCACAACTTTGTCAGCAAAGTAGGAGATGTTGGACTCTCAACCATGGTTCAAGTCGACCCTCTATCAACTAAATACACTATATACAAACAAACAAGCCCTGTGGGAACGTTGAGTTACATGGATCCAGAGTATCAACGCACGGGAATGATATCATGTAAATCAGATGTGTATTCATTTGGAATGATAGTTCTTCAGCTCCTCACAGCAAAACCGCCTATTGCATTGACACACTTCGTCGAGAGTGCAATGGATAGTGAGGATGAGTTTTTCAAGATCTTAGATCAGAAAGCTGGTAACTGGCCTGTTGAAGAAACTAGAGAGTTGACTTCATTGGCTCTGTGTTGCACAGAGCTGCGTGGTAAAGATAGGCCTGACTTAAAAGATCAGATTCTTCCAGCGCTTGAGAGCTTGAAGAAAATGGCTGAGAAGGCAAGGAATTCAATTTCCTGTGTGCCTACTCAACCTCCATTTCATTTCCTATGCCCCTTACTTAAGGTAAAACTCTTTATATACAACTTGTTTTTTTATGTCATTTGTTACTTGCAAGTCAAGTAACTGGTTAGATGTGAATGCTAATATTATACAATGCAGGACGTGATGAACGAGCCGTGTGTTGCGGCTGATGGATACACATATGACCGTCGTGCGATAGAGGAATGGTTTGAGGAGCACAACACGTCGCCGATGACTGATTCACCGTTACATAGCAAGAACCTTTTGCCAAACTATACTCTTTACACAGCCATCATGGAGTGGAGGTCTAGACTAAAGTAAAAAATCCAAACTGTGTAGCGTTTTATTTTTCTTTTGGGTGTATAAAAACGGCAGGACGTCCCAATGTGTATTCTTTTCTGTTCTGTTCTTTGAAAGCGAACTCTTTTTTTTTCTTTTTCGTGATTCTAAAGATAAACCAAACTTATAAGAGATTAATTGTCACAGATTAAAAACCGAAACCACACGCCTTTATTTAAATATATTTATTAATGGCCATTACAGAACACAAAGATCTTCTCGTCTTCATAACCCGAAAAAGAAAGAAACAGTATAGCTTTCTGTCTCAGATTCCTCCATCCATTGACAAAGAAAAAACAGGACTTGAGGGAAAAGTTTGCTGTTTCTAGGGTTTCTTTATTCCATTCTATCTTCTTGATTGGAAAATGAAACTCTTCTGATTCCTTTCGCCCAATCTGTGAGCTTTATCAGATTCTTGAAGACCCTTTTGAATATTCTTTTATAATCAAATTCACATCTTTTTTTTTTCCGACATTACACGATGCGGATGCTTTTGAGTTGCCTCCTTGTCTTGTCCTTGTCCTCTTTGGCGTTTTCAAACGAAAACGCCAGCTCGTACGTCCTTCCGCGACCGTTGATCTTCGAGACACACGAGCTCAAGACCATTGAAGAAGATAACGTCATTGTGAATTGCACGAGCTGGAGATTCGCGGCGGAGACGAACAATCTCGCGCCGTGGAAGACGATTCCGGTTGAATGCGCCGGTTACGTGAAAGACTATCTGATGGGTAAAGGGTACGTTGTGGATTTGGAGAGAGTCTCGGAAGAGGCTAAGGTGTACGCAAGCAGCTTTGGATTTAGCGGTGAAGATGGGAAGGATACTTGGATCTTTGATATTGATGAGACTCTCTTGTCGAATCTTCCTTATTATTTGGAACATGGTTGTGGGTAAATGTTTTTTTTGTCTGAAAGCTTCTTCCTTTTACAATAAAAATTGTTTTTTTTTTGGTTATATAATACTTTGGTTGTTTGTCTGGAGACTTCAGGACAGGATCTTTGATGTAATGTGTTTTAAATGTGAATTTGTTTCTGTTTTGGGATTTTTTTTCAGGTTGGAAGTTTTTGATCATACGAAGTTTGATAAATGGGTGGAGAAAGGAGTTGCACCTGCTATAGCACCAAGCTTGAAGCTTTATGAAAAGGTTAAAGATTTGGGGTACAAAGTTATCCTGCTTACTGGGCGAAGAGAGAATCATAGGGTTATCACTATTGAGAACCTGATCAATGCCGGTTTCAATAACTGGGACGAGCTTATTCTGAGGTATTGCATACTCAAAATTCTCAGCTTTCTTGGAGCAATTTATTTGATATAATTTTATTTGGTGCTTTATGTGATCAGATCGTTGGATGATGACCACAAAACGGCGACCATATTCAAGTCAGAGAAGAGGGATGAGATGGTGAAAGAAGGGTATAGGATCAGAGGCAATTCAGGTGATCAATGGAGTGATTTGTTGGGTTCTGCAATGTCTCAACGCTCATTCAAACTCCCAAATCCCATGTATTACATCCCTTGAAGTGGAGAAAACAAACTCTTTTTTTGATAAGGCAATTCAGGTGGCCTACTGTTTTTGAAGTTTGGGTTACCATATGTAATTCCTTGCTATATATTATGTATGTACCAATGACTGCATCAGTTCTATGTTTAAGAGCTTGATTGCAACATAAATTATAAAGTTACAAAGTGCCACAGATTCCTTGGGTCCTATGCAATGATGTACAAGAAAGCAGGACAGACTCAAATCTTAAGTTTCTCAAAGGTAGCCCTTACCATCTTTTAAGCATAAAAGAAACATAACCAAAGACGGAACATGTAGTCTTTTATACAAAACAGAGCAAAGAGGAAAGACCAAACATAACGTTTTTCCATATATAGACGATATCACTTTTAGAAAGGGAAAGTTCAACATAAGGTTTACAAAATTACAATAAAGTGGACAACAAAACAAAACAAAACATGGTACCATTTCACAGTAAAAACATACACATTACAAACAAAAACGAAAAAGAAAACACTTCCCCCTTTTATTATCCACATTGATCAAATTCTAAACACCTTATTGCTCATAAAACTTAACTCCCTGACATCGAGTTTATTGGACTATGAAGATAGTCATGGGGAAATTTAGGTAGTGTGCTGTGTTCCTCGGGTACGGTCACGGTCGTGTTCCCCACCTGTATGCTGTTGTCCATAGCCACCTGTATGCTGTTGCCCATAGCCACCTGTATGTTGTTGTCCATAGTACTGAGCTCTGTCCTTCATATCTTGAAATTTGCCTCCCAGCTTCATCCTTGCACTGTCCAGCTTATCTGACCCCTGTGGGTGCTCTCCCGTTGCATACCTATTCATCACAATTCACACACAAGTGCATGTATCACTATGTAAAGTCTTGTGCTAAATTAGCTGATCCTGTAAACAATTTAATGCAGTATCTTATAATCTACAAAAAAAAATGATCCAAAGCTATTGGTCAAATGCATGCATGCAAATAATGATACACACAAACATTTAATTCATTGCATGTTTAAGTATATTTTATAGTTTTGCCTCTTTCTTTTCCTCTCAAGGCACATGTCATTATGTAAACTAATTACCCTTGCAAAAACATATTTTTGTATCATGCACATAATTTGAAATATATGATAAGATGTCTACTTACTTGTAGATCCAAGAGAAGACGGTTATAGCTGCAATACCAAATCCACCAGAGGAGAGAAAGCCGGTGATGAGCATTGCGACAGTGATGAGAGCGGGGACAAGGATAGGGCTAAAGATTACAAGCAGAGGAGTAGCAACAGTCAAAGCAATGACCGTTCCAACAAGGGTGAGACTGGAGAGGACAAGTAGGGACCCACCAGCGGTAACTGCCGTAACAGCTTTAGCAACCTGCCTAGACTTGGAGTAGTCTTGGCCAGACATGTTGTACTGGTCTCGGTCTCGGCCCATCATAGAATACTGGTCTCGGTCTCTGCCAATCATCGAATACTGGTCTCTGTCTCTGTCTCGGCTTGTGACATCGTGATGGGTTCTAGCTGTATCCGTCATGTTGCTTCTTGTTGATCAAAGAGAGAAAGATGTGTATATATTTTTGGAATAGCTATGAGTGTTGAATTGATTAGATATATGAAGAGAAGGGAAGAGAGTCAGGTGTCAATGGCGTCATCATGCATCTTACACCACGTGTTAGTGGCTTCACCATGCAGCCATTGCAGGTGTAAACAACATGTGTTTACTTGGGGACACGTTTGTTTTGTTCCTATGGCGTTGGCATTTGAAACCGAACGTTAACACACACGGCCCATTTGTCTTATAATATTTAATATCGGTACCGGCCCATTGGGCTTTTATATGGGTTCGGTATAATAAATATTCGACTCTTAATGTTTCTTATTTCTCCACGTCACTCTTCTCCCTTCCCTTCCGATAATGCTATCTCTCGTCGCCTCTCCTCCGGTAATCTCCGCCGCGTCTCTCTCTAAACCTCTCACCTCTCTTTCTAAAGCCGCACTCGTATCTAAACGAGCCAAACCCATTAACCCTTTCCCAAAAACAGCTCGATCCATCTCCGTATACAAACCCCCGATGAACAACCTCTTCACCAGACTCGGATTCGGGTCCCGTCCCCAACCCGACCCGGCTTCCTCCGCGATCGCACAAGGACCAGACGACGACGTTCCGTCTCCAGGTCAGCAATTCGCGCAATTCGGCGCCGGTTGCTTCTGGGGAACTGAATTGGCTTACCAGAGGGTTCCCGGTGTGACGAAGACAGAGGTTGGGTATAGCCATGGGTTCGTTGACAATCCGAGCTACGAGGATGTCTGTTCGGAGACGACGGGACATAACGAGATTGTTCGGGTTCAGTATGATCCGACAGAATGTAGCTTTGAGACATTGCTTGATGTTTTCTGGAAGCGTCATGATCCGACCACTTTGAATCGCCAGGTGATTGCTTTATCCTTAAAGATCGAGACTTTTAATAAACCCACGTGTTGGTTTGGTTCTAGGTTCATTTTCAGACAGTAAGCTCTGTTTTGTTTTGCTGTTTGGTCTTTTATTATATTCTGATTTGGTTTTATTTATGTTTTGGAAAACAATTTTGGTTTGGTATTGTTGGCTTGTTTTTGTGTGTGTGAGTTAACTTTATTGATTTGAGTAGGGGAATGATGTGGGGACGAGGTACAGATCAGGGATATACTTCTACACTGAGGAGCAAGAGAAGTTAGCTCGTGAAGCTATGGAGATACATCAGAAGAATTTGAACAGGAAGATTGTGACTGAGATACTTCCCGCCACTAAATTCTACAGAGCAGAAAATTACCACCAGCAGTATTTGGCGAAAGGTGGTCGCATGGGTCTTAGACAATCTGCTGAGAAAGGTTGCAACGATCCGATCCGTTGTTATGGTTAAGAAACTAGTAAGTCTCTGGAGCATAATAGAAAGTGAGTTTATCTCATGAGAATACAATAATTCCTGTCTTGGTCATGTGGTATTTATAATCAACCAGTGATGATGCATCGTGTCGACTGTAATTTACGTCACCACCACAACAGTCTTCGTGAATTTCAATCTGTAATAAGGTATTCAGTTTTACAATAATCATGATTGTTATCTTATTATTCAAAATGTAATGGTCTCAAGAAATCACGAAAAGCGTCATGGTGTTACCATACATAGTTTACTAAAAATTTAGGTGGAACGAGTATATATATACGAATGTTATTCTAAAGGACATTTGATTAATCAAGGTTGATGAGTGCATGTCTTGTATCATTACAAAGTCGATGGTCAATGAAAACATTTCAAATTCCCAACTTGCCAATTTACATTGTACTAGTAGGTATTTGTTTGTATGAGTTGACTTGGTGCATGATAAGTATAGACGACTTCATAAGCCTAAAGTCGTCTTAGCCATTTTTTCATCTCGACTTTATCTGCATATTTGAAAGAACTAATCTGCAACTTAGAGAAATATTACGGTTGAAGTTTCGGAAAATGTTGTTAGTGGACTGCTCTAGCTGTCGTACGCCGCTTCACCTCCCTCCCGGAGCCACCAGGATCCGCTGCGCTCTTTGCCACGCCTTCACGCTCGTCGCTCCCGAGCCCCATCACCAATCTCACGCTCCGTCGAGCCATCTTCCTTTCTCCAACTCATTTAATGTTCCACCACCATCTACTTCCTTCTACCCGCCGCCTGTTCCATCTCATTCCGTATACCCGCCGCCAACACCGTCTACGTTAAGTCACTCATTATCAGCACCACCTGCTTTTAGTCACGTGCCATCGGCACCGTCTCCTTATAGTCACGCGCCACGAGCACCATCTCCATTCAGTCACGCACCATCTGCACCGTCTTCTTTCAATCATGGGCATTTTGAACCGTCTCCCTACAATCACGCGCCGCCGGGTCCTCCACCGCCGGTACATGGACAGAAGAGAGCGGTGATCGTCGGGGTGACGTATAAGGATACAAAGAGCGAGTTAAAAGGATGCATCAATGACGCTAAGTGCATGAAGTTCATGTTGATGAAGCGTTACAATTTCCCCGAGTCTAGCATTCTTATGCTCACCGGTATTGATTATTCTATTTTCTTTACATCCTTCATGTTTTCTTGATATAATTTCTGGTAGCTAATCACATTTGGTATTTAACACTTAGTTCTGAATCTATAGTATAAACTTAAAACTTCAAAATCATTAGAGTCTAGTTCATGGTCAGAGCCGGGCCTGACAATATTGGGGCCCCAATCTAAAAAAAAAAATTTGTACCAAAATAAATGAAAATTATATTTAAAATATACAAGCAAAACAAATTTATCTAAAACACAAAAATGAAGAGGTAAAAGTAAATTATTTAGCTTTAAGTAGTATATATAGTTTTAGAATTTATACATTTTTCATATATAGTATGTAGAAAGTAATTATTTTTCAAAAAATTAATAGGTAAAAAAAGAAAAAAAATTAAAATTGGGGACCCTTATATAGAAGGGGCCCCATTCAAATGTTTCACTCCAATGGGCTCAGGTCCGGCCCTGTTCATGGTATATTTTGATTTGGTCGTTTTGGTTTAGTTTCTATTAAAATAAAACAAAATTATAAGTACTATACTTGCTAGGTCAAACATTTGTAAAAGCCAATTTGTATATGTACATATGTTCTAAAGTCCGACTCGACTTTTTGATATTTCAATAAAAAAAAAATCTTTATGATATATGAGGGTAAATGTAAACAGAATAATACTTCTCGTCAAATGTCATAAATTGAGTAAAAATAATGTTGAAAGTGATAAATCTGTTATAGAAGAAGAAGCGGATCCATTAAAACGGCCAACGAAGAGCAACATAACAATGGCAATGCATTGGCTAGTTTTAGGCTGCAAAGCGGGAGATTCCCTTGTCTTCCATTTCTCCGGTCATGGCGTTTCCTAGTTACAAAACAAAAAGATAAAAACGTTAGAGGTTGTAGTTTTATTTGAAGAAACAATCGGTACTATTTTTTGTCCTTCCAGCTATAGCAACAAACACTATTATATATGTGAAAATACATGCATGGTATGGCTTCTAAATGCAAATGTAAAAAAAAAATAAGACCGTTTAATTCTTATATAGGTTAATGCATGTTTCTTAAGACGGGTTTCTTAGGAAAATATAAAAAACATGCATTAATGATGCTCTTAGGCCATGCTTAATGGGGAAAACCCTAATTAAGTTCTTAACAAATATTTACTTAATAAATTAAGTATAATAGTGTAATAACACTAAGATTATGATTAATTAGGGTTTTATGGTAATGTTTTTAGTGGAGGTTAAAAAACTGTTTCTTAACTTTTAACTAAAAAAAGTAAGTACCGGTTCTTAAAATCCTTATTTAAAAATCGGTTCTTTTAAAAACTGTTTCTTAGCGTTTTTAGTTAAAAGATAAAAAATAATTTCTTAATTTTTGGTAAGAACCCCATAATAAAAACTCCAAGTTAACCATGCTCTAAACAACATTTTTTATGTATCTTATTTAAGAGACATCTCTTGACATCTCTTAGTTAAAAACTATTTTTTTTTTTTTTTTCTAATTCTTAATTATACTTAGATACTTTCCTAAGAGACATGAAATAAACATGCCTTGTTTATCGTTCCTTGGTTTCCTTAATTGATTAGACCCGGAAAATACGAGTGGGAAGACCATCGGCCTCGATCAGGGATGTGGAAAGGTACGAGTGGCGGTGAAGTCTTCTCCTTCACTGGCTGCGACGATGACCAGACCTCAGTCGACACTCCGGTATATTTCTGAATTTTGGCTCATATTTTATCTCTAAATCCCAAACAAATTTATACTGTAGTTAATTACTATATACTCCTACATAAATGTAACTACAATATAAAGTTGTGCAATGCAGCAATTGTCAGGGAGTACGTGGACGGGTGCAATGACGTATGCATTCATTCAAGCCTTAGAACGCGGACACGGGACGACTTATGGGAGCTTATTGAATGCGATGCGATCAACAGTTCATGAGATCTTTGACAAGAAAAAAGGTAGAGAGCTTGTTGAAGTTGACAGCGATTTTCTCAATACTCTTCTTGGTTTGCTCATCTTAGGCGCTGCTCCTTCTGAGGGTGAGGAAGCAACCCAAGCCCCACAAAAAACTCAGGTGACCGATTCATCAGTATTCTTCTTCTTCTTATTATTACTTTAACTGATAATTTTCGTAGGAAAGATTAGGTTAATTGTAATTGATGAAAAGATTTTCATATGTGGAACAGGAACCACAACTGAGCGCTAACGAGCCATTTGAAGTGTACGAGAAGCTCTTCTCTTTATGATATCACCTCGAGAGGACAGACCAGAAAAGAAGAAGAGAGAAAGGAATTTGATTGAGCTTTGAGTGAGAGGATATGTGGCCCATGTCCATAATAAATATATGTCGGCCTTTTCATTTTTTTGTTGTTGTTTTGACAAACTTTTATCAAATGGTAAAGATACATCGTTTAAGAAATCAAAATAAATCTCTATTGTTTTCAGAAAAATTGTGACATCTCTTCACTATTTATTAATCTAGATGTTTTTGACTATGGTTTTAATTTTTTGTTTTCATAATTGCGTTAGTAAACCAAAAACAAAACAAGCTGAAAAATAGTAATTAATTTAATACAATTATGAGGACATAATGAGACTCTAGGAGCCTCCAAGCGAGGAAAAATAAAACTGTACTGCAAAGAGATAATGATAGTACAAATGATACGTACTGCAATACTGCCACATGTACGATGCAAAGCCATATCATTAAGACATCCTCAAACATAAAACCCAAACCACAGATATCACTGGCGTGTGCTCTCCTCACTTTCCCTGAAACCAAAGGTTCTGTCTGGTTCCCTATCTTTGCTCCACTTAGTTGCTTCTCGTTCAAGCTTTGTTGATCTCTTACTTTTGTACCTAGAACTTTTCATTTTTATTTTAGTTTTGTATATATTTCGATCTATGTTTCTGTGTGTTTTGTAAGGATATTGATTAATTTCTAGGCGTCTCTCCATGTTTATCTTGTTTGAAATGTGCAGCTTCAATCTCTAGAAGAAATGGCTGCTTCAGCTGCTGTAACCGCAAACTACGTCCTCAAGCCACCTCCATACCCTCTGGTATGATTTATTTTTATCTGTTTCTTCAAATCAATTGGAATTGTCTTGTGCAAATGTCATTTTGTTCTGGTTCGATTATATGATTAACAAATTAGGTGATAATAAATATAACGTGTTATCTATTAGTCATCAAATTACATTTATATCCTCGACTGTTACAAATGTTTTCTTTTGTTTTAACAATAAATAAAAAATAAAAAGGCGTTACAAATGAACTCATCTAATTAAATCAAGGACATAATCAATGATGGAGTATTAGTTTTCTTAAAAAATTGTTGATATTGTAAGAATTCTGGACCAAGAGAATTGTTCCTTGGTCCGATGATCTCAAAGTTTGTTCCTTAGTGGACCTATTGGAACATGTTGGAGTGTTAATGTTTTGAGTGAGAGAGAATTGATGAAATGTTGTTTGGTATAATATTGGGAAACAAAGGATGCTTTGGAGCCGCATATGAGCAAGCAAACTCTGGAGTTTCACTGGGGGAAACACCACAGGGCTTACGTGGACAACCTCAAGAAGCAGGTTCTTGGATCTGAGCTTGAAGGCAAGCCCTTAGAGCATATCATCCAAAACACTTACAATAATGGCGACCTCCTCCCTCCTTTCAACAACGCTGCTCAGGTTAATAATATAAATACATTTGAGCTTTTAATAGGGTAGTGTGATTGTTTAGCTGATCCAATGATTGTATATATAGGCGTGGAACCATGAGTTCTTCTGGGAATCAATGAAACCAGGTGGTGGAGGAAAACCATCAGGAGAGCTTCTTGCTCTGCTTGAAAGAGATTTCACTTCTTATGAGAAGTTCTATGATGAGTTCAATGCTGCTGCTGCCACTCAATTTGGAGCTGGCTGGGCCTGGCTTGCTTGTAAGTTGACTGATTCAGTTTTTTTTACTCTTTTCAAGTGTTTCAGAATGACTAGCTTCACAACTAGTCTAGTTTGCTTTCTTACTCTTCTTATCTCTCTGTTTTCAGACGCAGACAACAAACTCAAAGTGGTGAAAACTCCAAATGCTGTGAATCCCCTTGTGCTTGGCTCTTTCGTAAGTTTTTTTTGCCAGGAACTTGAATACAGAGTTTACTTTATCAACGATCACCGACAAATGCTTACAAATCCTTAAGATTAATTGTGGTTGTTGTTTCTTGCAGCCATTGCTTACCATTGATGTCTGGGAGGTACAATAAACACTTTTATAGCTCATACCAATACAGTTTTTTTTTTTTTCCTTAGGACCTATATGTTTTGCTACAAATTAATTGATATCTTCTTTTATTCCTTTGCTACATCAAACAGCATGCATACTATCTCGACTTCCAGGTAATAATAGTTATATCATAACAGTTATGTTTTATTAGTTTGTCACTCTCTTTGTTTAATTGATTGTTGTAATATTTTTGTATATGAGCAGAACCGGAGACCTGATTACATAAAGACATTCATGAACAATCTTGTGTCTTGGGAAGCTGTTAGTTCCAGACTTGAGGCTGCCAAGGCTGCTTCTTCTTGAATCATCAGACATTATCAGACCAATATCTGACTTCAGTAGTGAATGTGTTTTGCATTACTGAAGTTTCTCAATAAAATATTGGATGCGATACTAAGGACACCGCTCTCTCTTGTTGTAATGTCTCTTCGAGTCTTTCATCTATTTCTTGTTTTCTGAGATTTTAATCATCGTGTAATAAAGAACTATCATTGTTCTCTGCTTTGTGTAGTTTGATTATTATCTATTTATCTTTTCGTGTGTAAGACCTACGCATGTGTTATTTATCAGTCCAGACATACTCCCATATTTAGATGGATATAAGTATTATGGCACGTTAGAAACACTACTACTTGACAAAAAAAAAAGAAACACTACAATAAACTCTCCTGGAGAAAATGCTTAAAACATGATTACACACCTACCTACCTAACCAAGTAACCAACCATACACAAGAAACGAGTGCTTCGATGTCGTGAAGTAGAAAGGCCTATCACAATGTTACAGTCCGTTCGTATAGCCATAACGGGCCGACCAATACCGCCTAACCAATATTTGAGGGTAGATCAATGTTTGAAAATGGTTTCACATTTCGTCTTTTTAAAAATGTTTGAAAAGTCGAATCGGTTCTCTAACTACACATAAATAAATAATAAGAGACTAAAGTATTTGTGTTGACCAAAACAAAAGACTGATTCTGTTACCCCAGCAAGATAATCGTTGACTTCAAATGCAAGCAAGAAACACACAACAATCATGTTTTTGTAGACATTCCAAGAAAACCATCAACTTCCAGGTCAACTTTCTTGTCCAAAAGGAACGAAAATTTTCAGACAAGAGTGTGATATGGAGAGACCAGTAAGCTTTGACGTGACTGACTATAATCCAGAGGGAGATGACTGGATCAACAACCTAGTACTCCACAAAGATTCGATGAGCGGACCATCGTCGCCGCTGATACACCACAATCCGGAGATGAAAATCCCCGAGGAGGCAACGGATTACGTGACCATCACGCTAGACATTCAAGGAGACAACGTGGTGGTCGTAGAGGAGAACGCAGAGCCGATGGCACGGAGGCGGCAAGGGTCGAGGAAGAAGTCTGTGGTGAATCGTCGTACACTCGTTGAACCATCAAGATCGAAGTTTGACTCGTCAGAGGCCTTGAGAGGTCTTAGAATGTTTATTAGGATGACCGATGCTGGTTGGATCGCTGTGGAGAGGCGGTTTGATAAGATGACTGCCAAAACTGGTGGACTGCTGGATCCGGTAAATTTTGGTGAATGCTTAGGTAAATCAAAATGTTTGCATATCACAAAAGAAAAATCATAAAAATGTAAAAGATAATAATATTTTTTTTTACATGGCAGGGATAAATTCAAAGGAATTTTCCTTGGAATTGTTCTATACATTGGCAAGACAAAGGGATATATCATGTGAGGGGGTTAGTAAGTCCGAACTATTGGAATTATGGTGTCACATAAATGATCAATGCTTTGACTCCAGGTTTAGGATGTTCTTTGACATGTAAGGCTATTTTGTCTAACTAAGTCTTTCGTTTTATCTTCTAGAAGTTATTGAGGGAAATGATAACAGAGTTTGAGTAGTAAAGTTGAACCAATAGGGTCTGTGAAATGCAGGGCAGATAAGGATGGTGATGGTAGACTATCACAACAAGAAGTTAAAGAGGTGATAAATGACTAATTTTCTCAAAGTTTTTGGGAGGGAGAATTAGTTAAATCTGTTATGTTTTCTCTTTTTGTTGTTTTTCACACAGTTTATCAGGCTTACTGCAACCGCCAAAAATCAATCCGCAACAAAGAACATGGTTGATAAATATGCAGCAATGATCATCAAAGAGCTTGATCCAGATGATTTTGGATACATCATGGTAATTGATAAGCTCAATATTTACTTTTCCACCTTCATATCTATAACTTTTTGTAGTGACCTTTTTATTTTATAATACAGATAGAAAGTCTTAAGGTACTGCTGCTGGATGTGGAAACACTCTCTGAAAATAAAACAACAATTACTGATCAGGAAACAAAGAAGGCTACAACAAAGAGATGGTACAACAAAGTTATTCGAGATATCCCATCTTCATCTTTGATTCCTTGCCTGAAGAAGACATCATCTACTAAGAAGACATGATTCATCAAATTCTCAAGATTACATCACATGAGCAGAAATGAATTGCCACATGACACGTGAGCAGTCCAAAATCAATATGAGTGCAAACCTCAAAACTGTTTTGTTTTGTTTTTTTTTATTTAGTAAAGATTATACTTTACATGTGAAGTAAAATCGTGAAACCATTGACCTTTTCTATGGGTAATTTTCCATCAATTACAGCAAAACTTCTGCTAGAATTTCTATGTGAAAATAATAAAAGTGGGGATAATGCACCCATTGAGTTAGATGTTATGAGAAAAATGTACTTATTGGCTTAAAAATGATGACGTGGCAAGTAACCTCACCACTAGTTCCCAAACACTCGAGTGTTTCGAAGCCCAACAACGCCGATTGTCGTCACGTTCTCCTCATCCAATCTTCTGCTTCACGAGCTCTGATTCGGCTTAAAGCTAAGGCCTTTGACGAAACATCAGATGCTAACGTTACAAGGATTGGACTGAGACGAAAGGAAGCTTTTTTTTTTTTATGGGTACCGGGTCAAGTTCGGATCCGGAGTCGAGTTCGTCCGGGTGGAGCAGGGCTCCTGGTTTGGTAGCGAAGGCTCTGTTTCTGATCGGCGGCGCTGTTCTCCTGAAGCGTCTCACGAAATCCACCACTCGCTGGGACCACTCTCAAGTCGTCTCTCGCTCTCTCAGTGGCGAGAAGGTCTCTCTCTACTTTCGTTAGCTTTATTGAATTTCATAGTTTTACCCCAAAAAAAGATGAAAACTTTGTGCTGATTCAAGGTTTTGTTTTTTTTTGTTTTACTAAAAGTTTTCAAAGGAGCAGGCATCAAAGGATCCTGATAATTACTTCAACATAAGGTTTGGTATTGTTCTTTATCACTCATGGTGAATTGGGTTGTTAACTATGTCTAGTGTTACTGAAGCTCAGTTAAGCTGTATGTGCTTCTTGGTAAGTAACTGTAACAGCCTTCTGAAATGTGGTTATAAGCTTTAGAAATGCGATGTGCAGAATGATGAGCTGTCCAGCAGCTGAGATGGTGGATGGTTCGCAGGTTTTGTATCTCGAGCAGGTCAGTAGTTTCAACTTCTTTTTCATTTTGTGTATTTGTATAATCTCTTTTGTGTATGTTATATGTTAAGCTATATTAGTCTCTGTTCTCAGGCATTTTGGAGAACACCTCAAAAACCCTTTAGACAAGTATGCTTTCTGCACCTTATGTTGGTTCTTTAGGCCTGAATCCTTGTGAACCAGTTCTCTGATTATATCTTTGTTTGGATTGCAGAGATTGTACATGGTTAAGCCTTGCCCAAAGGAACTGAAATGTGATGTCGAGGTGAGGAGATGATTTATACATGTTCTCTTGATCACAAAAGCTGTATTAAAGTATTTTTCAAGTGATTAGCTAGCTCTAAACAGTGTTTTATCTTCTTCTTCTTTTTTTTCACTAGGTGAGCTCATATGCAATTAGAGATGCTGAGGAGTACAAAAATTTCTGTGACCGCCCAAAGGACCAACGCCCGCTTCCCGAAGAAGTTATTGGTGTAAGTCACCCATATAATTGATGGTACATGTTTCTTGTAGAGATGTTTTTTTTGGTGTCACAAAGTTTCATTGCATTGAGTTACAGGACATAGGGGAGCATTTGACAACCATACAACTTAGCTGTTGCGACCGCGGAAAGCGTTGCTTATATGAAGGATCAGCTCCACCTGGTGGTTTCCCAAATTCATGGGTATGTTTCCTCTGACACATCAAAACTCTACACTTCATTAGTCACATGTACACTCCATTTGTACTACTAACGTTTTGTTTCTTCTTCCTTTGCATCCGAAATGAAAAGAATGGTGCAAGCTATTGTACATCTGATCTTACAGTCCTGAAAAACAATGAGATACACCTCTGGGATCGCGGGTTTGATGATGATGGAAACCAGGTTCAATCCAATTTCCTCCTCATGTATCCTCCTTTTGTCTTGGTGTGGAGAACTTTCATTTGATTTGGGTTTTTCTTGCTCATCTTTCAGGTATGGGGACCAAAGGAAGGCCCGTACGAGTTCAAACCGGCTCCGTCATCGTCAAGCATCAACAACGATGTGTTCTCTCCTTTGAATATATTTCCTCAATCTACACTTGATAAACCAATCAAAGGATCCTTCATTTTGCAAGAGTAGGTAAAGGCAGACATATTATTCCCGCTTTTTCTTGTTCTTCTCTCTTTGTAATTCTCTACTGTAATGGCAACCAACACTCACTTATGTATCATCATCATCATATACAGTGTTTACTTGCTATGTTCCTTCTTTACTTAGATAAAGGCATATAATGTTAGCCCAACTTTAGTTTAAGGCCTTCAATATGATTGTTGCAAATCTTCCGCAAGAGTTCTGAGCATATAGTAAAGTTACATATTACATTTGATATAACATTAAACAGTGAATAGCTATAGAACTATAAACCAACTCCTGAAGAAGTGCACCACTTTCAGTGAGTTTTGCCTAGACAGCATAGTTCCTACTCACTGCTAAGGAATAATCAACAGATGAATAAGAATGTTTTTTTCTCTTCCAAAAATGCTCTACATTGGAACTGCTTCGATAAGCCTAGAAAAGTAGAACTGAGTTGTAATAAGTCCCCTCTTGCTGATCCTCCACCCAACCTTACGCAAAGCATTTTCAACATCCGCCTCCGAATGTAGATAAGCTCTCGTAGCCTTTGAAGGACCTGGGAAAAGCTCACCAATCCTCTTCAAGATATCGTAATAAAACGTCTTCGGTGCGAAACTCAGAATCACTCTCTTCTCAGCTAACGAAGCGAGGTGTGAAATCATCCCATCAGCTTTGTTCTGAGGGTAATGTATCAACACGTCTAGGCATACAACTGTGTTATACTTCCCACTCAAGCTTTCCAAATCATTCACTTCAAATCTCGGTAGATTCTCTGATCCTAACTGCTGCTTCGCCTATATGTACATTCATAGTTTGTCAATTAATAATATGAAAAATGATTGTCAGTTACACATAACAATAAGATTTTGAAATTCGAAATCACAGAAGCTTACCTTCATCTCAGCTTCGGCGACCATAGCTGCAGAGATATCGCTAGCGGAGACGATCGCACCTTCCTTAGCAAGTGGAATCGAGAGCAATCCAGTTCCGCAACCAGCGTCGCAGACCGTTACGCCTGCTAACGAACCTTCTTCAGTTAACATAAGCATCGTTTTCTCAACGGTTTTGGCGTGGCCGATTCGTATATCTTTCTGGACGCGGTTCACTTCGTCGGTTTCTCCGTAGATCTTCCTCCACCGCTCGAACCCGGTGCTGTTGAAATACTCCCTCACAACCTCCTTGTCGCCTCCCCCGACTTCCTCCGCTTGCAGTTTCCGCCTCCTCTCCGGATCCGTTAGGGAGACGATCGTCGCTAGAGCTGCTACGGATCCGCCTCCGAGTACGGCGATGGTTGTGCTGTCGACGGAGGTTAGGTCGGTTACGGATGTTGCGAGGACGGTGAGGGCTCTGGTACGTGAAGGAAGTGCATTGAGCCTGGTGGAGTTTGGGAAGCGAGGGAGGAAGTGGGAGACTGAGGAGGAGGAGGATAGTAGGGAAGGAGAAATCGTCATTTCTCGGAAGGAGTTTGGGTACTCTGTTTGAAGCTCCTTGCTGTGAGTAAGTGTTATCGGTTATCCTGTGGATAAGATAGGAGGATGATCTGCCTTTCGATTTCCATGGGGCCCACAGTAATGCGGGGGAGTCTCACAGGCGCGTTTTATCATTGGCTTGTTCTTAACCGAACCAAACCATATTTTTATTAGATTTTGGTTAAGGAATGAAAAAGAAGAGTGTTATACAAGTAACAACATAAAGCCCAACAAGAGGCACAAGTCTGAAAGCAAAGCATATACACTTTGGAAGAGTGATGAGATGTTAATGATGACGATAACCTTTGTGTGTATGTGTGTGTGTGTCATAACTTGCAGAGAGGAGACTAAAACTGGTCGTCACTCATCACTCATCGCAAGAGTCAGAAACGGAAAGAGAAGGAATAAAAGTGGAGTCAGTGAGTTGTGCGCGAGATGCTTCCCACAGTTGTTGTTCTATTCCAAGTTTCCTTAGCTCCCTCATACCTCGTTCCACTGTCACTCCCAAAAATACAACAAAGAAAGAATCAGAGTCTTGTATACTACTAGATAACAGTATATGAACTAGCTTACCATCAACTGCATCATGTGATGTTGGCTGTTCTCCGATACGGCTGATCCAGAACTTAAGACGGTCTTCTGCGATATCACTTTCCACTCCGTGGATTTTAGCTCTTTTCCAGTAGTACATCAGCCATGCCTAGAACATTAAAATGTGTGATTTTTAGTCAATGAATATGATCCTGCCAAGTAAAAGCCTCAACTGTTACCTCTTTAAAGAGAATATCCTGTTGCTCATCGTGACTCAACTCTGCATTCAAAATTCATAGGAACTATTTTATCAGTAACAGTAAGCCCTTTCTTGCTCAACATATAATAAAATATAGATGAAGGCCCGAAGCACTAAAAGGATAAGTTTTGTTAAGATGGTTATTTGCTTATATGATCACTCTGTGTAGATAGTCAGACAAACAGTTTAAAGAAAGCGACTCACCAAATGCTTCGGCAAACTTGGGTTCCCCTTGCACCCTGGGATCTGGATATTAAAACCACATGAGTGTCTCTCGTATATCATTCATATATGTGCCAATAATTTTTAGATATATTTTTACCAGTGTCGGATTGTCGGACCACATGCCTTTGTCTGAACCCGGCAAATGCAAGCATTATAGCATCCTCGACCTGTGAGGCACATGATATCATATATATATATGAGAAGTTATCTTCTGAGAAATAGCTTTTTCAGTTAAAAACATCAAATTAAGATTATAATATGGGCAATGTTTTACCTTCAAGGATGCTATCTCACGCAAACCCGCTTCAACAGCAAGCATACTCTCTATGTTTCCGTCTCCATTTGCATCACTGAATTTACTAACGACTTTGCTCCAAGTGCGATCGCTACCATCTGACAGATATGTGATGTTATCAGTTGATTTTGTGAGAAAGTTGGTGGGGGAATCGAGAACCAAACCTGTCTGCCAGGAGTCTTCAGGCTTCTGGGCCGCTGAAATGACAACTTCAAAGGGAAGAGGAGCTAGAGCTGACCAATGTTCATGTCTTGATGGAGCTATATCCTTATAAATTCCTAAGAGTGAACCAATTAGGCGCATAAGTAAATAACTTCAAATGATGGCGGCAAGTAATATCGTTGACCAACGCCCTCTAGTAAGATAACTGATTAGCTAGTCCATGTCAGTATACAGTGAAGTGAATGATAAGAGCAAGCTACTTCTTATAAAGCTAGAAGAGAGAATTTAACTACCGTGTTGAACAGCTAGTTCCCAGTAACGAGCAAGCCAGCATCTCTTTAGAACAACTTCCTCCTACAAGATGTCAATCATATAGTTAAATCAAACAAAGAAGGTGGTGTTAAACGGTCAAGGCACAAAATTTTGGTTTAGTTTATTGAGCAAACCATTTCTTCGTGAGACAAAATCGTTCTATGTATCATTGTCCGAAGAGACTTTGTTTCAGCTTGAGCGTCCTGGAGCTGTTCCACGGCCTTATCTGCTTCATCTTTTAAGCTCTGATCATAGCACAGCATAGACGAGAGGATCATTTCTTTGTCAAGTTGACAGGTTAATATCATAAAGTGTAGAGAACACGTCGATGTCTAACAAACACCGTACCTGAAGTTCTGCACAAAATGCATCAGTTTCCTTGCTTCTTCCATCTCTCTTCTGTTCAGCAGCCCTTAATGCTGCCTGCAATAGATTGATGTACTCCCGTTTCTATAAACTACTGTCAAAGCAAGCTCGGAGAATTCAAATATGAATGCAATACAGACCTCTCTTTGACGCAATGCTGCTTCTTTCCTGAAGGGATCAGAAACATTGTGAAAAAGCAACTTTTTAGTAAATGAAGGTGTTATAATAAAGGCAAAGAAAACCAAACCTCTTCAAGAGCTTGACGTCAAAATTTGCACCTTCACCTAGAGAAGCAATCTGTTGCAAGTCACACCGAGCTTAGAAGTTAAAATCAACATAGGATATAAAGAACATGTCTACAAAACTGTATTGGATATATCATAAACACCTGTTTCTCTAGCTCTTTAGCCCTTGCTTCTGCTGCTTCACGTCTTTCTTCAGCGCGTTGGAGCTGCATATGCAAGTAACGCAAGACTATACACATCAAGTACCAGAAGGCAGCAGATTAGAGGTAGACAGATAGAGAAAAAGATGTCACACTTACCTTATGCAGTATATTATCATTTTCTTCTTGAAGCATATCTAACTGCAATGATAATTAAACTGGTGATCAGTTATTATAACCAAAAAAAGAAGCAGTTTTACATGGAGTTTAGAGAAGCACGTACTTCATCACGCAAGGCCGAAGCTTCTCGATCATCTTCCTCCTGTGATAAATTGTCTGCAGAGCTAAACCTGAAACTACTCGTTCGTTCCCAGAAATCTCATCAAAAATACAAGACAATCAAAAGAAGCAAAGACTTTAACAATAACCTCCAATCTCTTCTTTCTTTTTTTTACCTTTTCTTATACTTTAACTGAGCCTCCGATTGTTTCGCCGGCACGTCAAACTGAACATTGACTTTCCTATCTCCGTTCAGCTCAGAATCCTCAATCGGATTCCGACGCGAATACGCCGGAACTCTAACCCTGAGTGCAGCACTACCGTTCTTTTGAGGAATCTCCTCTTGATCCTGCACCACCACTTCGTCTCCATCAACTTCATCGTCAAACTTAGGCGGAGATAGTGCGATCGGATTCACCGCCGGAGCTTCTTTCTGACCACTAACATTCTTTTCAGGAATCCTCACTGGAAAATCGGCTGCAGTTTCGTCACCGTCGATCTCATCGTCAAATTTAAGCGGGAGTCTGATTGGTTTAACCGCCACATTCTTTGGAGGAATCTTCACCGGTTCATCACCGTCGGATTCATCGTCAAACTTAGGCGGGATTAAGACCGGTCTAACCGCCTGAGCCGGTTTACCTCTGACGGTTCCCTTGCCGATTCGATTATCATCTCGTCTTCGATCCCGAGAGAGAGGCGGAAGTTGGACCTGGTAGAGATCTTCGTGTTCGTCGTCGTCGTCGTAATCATAATCGTAGTCACGTTTCTCCATGACTTTAGCTAGTAGCTCGGCTGCGTTTTGCTTCCGGAGCGTGCCTCTGCCTGTGATTCCCCCTCCTACGCTGCGATGCGAAGGAGACATCGCAGGTGAAGAATTAGCTGAGCTGATACTATCCGAAGCTTCCCACCGCCTCCGTGCCATCCTTTCCGGCTTATAGAATAATCACACAAACTTATATGTTTACTCTATACAAAGAGATGGTGAAATGAAAAATTTAACAGACGGAGTCAACAAACAAGGTGAGAGGGAAGGGGGAGAAGAGATGAATATCGGAGAAGAGGTAAACGCTAATAGTCGTGGAGACGGAACGGTGGCGGGAGGGAGAGGAAGTTGAGAGAACGTGGGTCCCAGTTTTTAATTGTTTTTTGTTTTCCCTCTCAGCAAATCCAACTTGTTTAATAGTATTCAAATTATTATAGCATATGTACTTGTTCCACAAATCAATAGAAAAATATCTAAAAAATGAGGGATGCTGGAGTAGTAGAGGCTTCCACATAGGAAACAAATCAGATTAAAATTAATGGTTGGTTTAGAGGTAATGTTTTTATATATCCATCACAAACATTACCATAGTCACTTACCATTTTTTCAGGTTTTGGATACGTACTCTTGTGTCAAAACTTCAAACTATTTTAACAACATATCTTAATCCTTTTCAAAAAGAACTTAGATGGCCTCCAAAATTTATGCCACCTAACACCCAAAACTTTTAACATTATACTAACTAGTCGTTACCCGAAATCAATTCTACTTTTTCAATCTCTGAAGAAAGTTAGCTACAACTAACAAAGCAATGTCATATTATATATTCGTCGTCATATAAGACCAATCACGGTAAATGAATCAATCTCAACGTACCAAACAAAGTTTTCTCATCGTCAACGTCAAATCTTAACTTCCAGAAGAAGAAGAAGAAAAAATAACACACGGTCTAATATAATATCAAAATAAAATGCTCAGAAACCAAGAAAGGTCAGAAGAAGGAAAAGAGAAAAAAAGACAGCCGGTTTGTGTTAAACCGGGAGAGTTTAAGCCGCAGGTTTCTTCTGAACAAGATCCTCAATCAAATCAGCCGCCTCTTGAATCGTCGTGATGTTCTGAGCATCAGTTTCCTCCACACTTATGTTAAACTTCTCCTCCAATGCCATCACTATCTCCACCTGCATCCATATTCACCAACGTTACTAATGACCTAACATATTTGACACATTAATATACGAAACAGAGAGAGTATTAGTATATAACATACGGTGTCAAGAGAATCAGCGCCAAGAGCAGAGAACTTGGACTCAGCAGTGAGCGGAGTGTCAGCGGACAAAGCCAACTGTTCCTTTACAATGTCACTCACTTTCTGCACTGTCTCTGGTTTTGCCTGTACGTATACAACTCACATGTCACAAATCAACTTTTTATCACATTTTTATCATAGAATTCATCTTTTACTTACTGCACAACTGATTTGAAGACGAAGGCTCTTTGAAGACTGGAAACGACCAAAGGAGATAGACTGAAAACTTGAGGGTTTCCTTAACACCTGATAATTAACATTATTCGAAGCTAATTGTGTTATATTTTGGTGGCTTTTGAACATTAATATAGAAAAAAAAAACACGAAACTCCAATCTTAAGTTAACTATTATTAAGTGGAAGGACACACAATAGATGTCTACTATATGTATACTATATATCGAGTCTTGAAGAGAAGAAGATGTAAAGTCACCTGAGAGATTCTGGTTGATTGTATGGAGGGAGCTTTGAAGCTCAGAGAAGTGGCTGACAAGGAAGCCATTGAAAGAGATGAAAGCTCAATATACAGGTCAGAGACTAGGAGAAAAAAATGGCTTCTCCTATTGCAAACTCAAGTTGGATAAGATGTAATCTCTTGAGAGGGGAAAACTTTTTGATGGAGATTAGAAGACAATAATACGGCGCCGTTTTAAGAGACGTAAGCACATTCTACTGTTTTTGTGGCCTAGGTTTGTTCTTCGGGATTGAGGCCTATCTTCGGCACATGTTGCTATGGGTCCCACATTGTGTCAAGTGAGACTATTATTGTCACACACTAGAACAGGCCCAAACCAAAATACAAGTTACTTCAACGGCCCCTTAAAAATTTGTCAAGTGACTATTATTGGTTCTGGCTACATTCTCTTCAAATTTTTCTTTGGAGAGATCCATTGATGATGATGATGTCTTTTCGTTATAATATCTTTTGTTTTCTCAAATTTTATATACAAATACTTATATAGGGAGTATCACAGTAAAGTTAAAAAATATAAAAACAAATAATACACCGAATCATACAATTTCTTTCTATAATAATCTTATAAAATCTAAGTGTATAACAAAGATTGAAGAATTGTTAGAAATTGTATAATATATGATATAAACAAAAGAATCTTTAGTGATGACGAGCAGCGGAGGCAGATAGGACAGTAAGGATGAACAAGAGAAGAAAAGATGCAAAGGAGAAGGCGAGTGAGAGAGACCCACGATTGCAGTAACTATGTACATAACCGCATATCGGAAGCCAACCGGCGTGTGTGTTACCGTACTTTCCAACGTAACCCTCCGACGTGGCCGCAGAGAAAGCTGACATGGCCGTCAACGTCGCAAGCTGTACAACATTTTTCAACCCCATCTCTAAACGTTCATATGTCGAATACCCATATCAAATATTTAGATTGGAAAATGGATAGTAATTACCAAATCAAAGAAGAAGAGTACAAAAACAAGTCCTTGTTTGCGGACAGCTAAACAAGCCCATGCGAGCGTGAATAATGTCAAGGCGGAGATAGCTATATCTGCGTACACCAAATACCTGCGAAACGTAACAATGTTTACATACTTTCATTGCATGCATGTCCTAATTCATTACTCGATCTCTTACTTTATTGCAACAATCAGTGTTGTGTTTACAAAATACAAATGGTTGTGGCTTTGCCGTTTTGGCTACTATTAGTCACGAGAACAAATCAATGGTTTAAAGATAAACGACATGTGGATGAGTGAGACGTGAAAAAAATTAAGAATTAATTTATTTTACATATGTTTTTCTACGTGAGAGATATTTCTCTTCTTTTTTTTTGCAAATTTTTCCCACCAAAATCTGTGAATTATTTGTCCTACATATGTACTTTAAATGTGAATTTCATGACGCAGATTGATGTTGCTAATTCCATCATTTTAGATCAGTATGTGCACCTTGATGCAATGAGCAATAGAGAATATATACCTAAAGGCTGATGAGTCGCTGTATTTAGCCTCAAAAGAAATGCCATAAACAGAGGCGACTTCATGGTTAGTGATCATGAGCCCCATGGAGGCCAATGCGGTGCCAATGGCTAACAGTCTCAACGACACTTGAACCGCAAGATTCATTGATGGCGTTCTTTTCCCTCCATTTCCTCCCATTATTATTCAAATTGAAGCTTTTACTTTCCTTATAGATTGTTACAAAGATCAAAACCAAAAGGAAAAATAAGACAAATATATAGTTGGTGGTGTTGTTACTTGCTGTGGTGTAAGATCCCAAAATTCAACGAAGACAAGAGAAAGAGAAGAGTAAATGGGTTGGAAAAGAAGAGATGGTCAGAAGAAGATAATTAATAGGAAAATAGCATGTGGGTGAGATCGCAAAACAATATATTTGAGGACGTTGGATAATCGAATCATCTGTCTAAACAGATGGGCACTTGCTGTTTGAATACATTAAATTTGGTAACACATCTTTGTTTACAGCCGTGATTTTTTTTTCAATAGTAGTTGGTGTTTTAGAAAAAACTATTAGATAATTAACAACAATTAAGATCAAATTTGGTAAAAAAAACAACTAATTAAGATCACGATTCTTCTTAGAAGCTAAAAAGAAAATCCTTGGGCCATATTCAAATGAACCAAATAAGGACATAACAATTTTTACCTATTAGTTGTTATTTCATAAAATATAACATATCTTATTATTTATAAAAATTTGATTAGTAATAACTAATTTTTGTAAATAATAATCCATTTACATCATATTTTGTAATATGTTATTTTTGGAAAAAATGATTTTTATCATATGTTTTTAAACACCCTAAATTTAATATGTGAAAAAATATGTGAGGTGGCAGAAAAAAACAGTTTATTTTTGTAACGAACTTATTCAGTTTATTTTTTGAACTTAACATTCATTATAGAGTCAATAATAAATAAATAATCAAAGTAAAAACAAAAATTATCAACCTATGATAGTTAATCATATTGAGAAAGAGTTTGATAGCAAGCACAAAGCTGATTTGTCAGAGAATCAGTTTAAAGATAGAAGAAGAACATATAAAGTCAAAGCAACAGCCTAGGACGTGGGTGGAATAGTATTTCAAACTCGGCAACATATCATTAGTCGAATCAAATAAGCAGTTCAAAGGATCAAATACATGAAAAACTGCATATAACTTATACATGTTTGCTATTATTTTTTTTTGACTGATGTTTGCTATTATTTTGGCAAGGTATATAGTCTCTATTCTGGAAAGAAAAACTTTGTAATCATTTACAACTCCTCCCATTCATTAAATGAAATTAACATGCTTATACAAAATAACTTATATGCAGTACTTTTCCGTAAAGAATAAAACGTACATACAATATGGTCAGATGTTACTCTCAAGCTGAAAGTGGATTTTGCTCATCCAGTTTTTATGTAGAAACAAATTCAACTTTCTGTAAACGAAGTTGATACAAAGGGGACTTGCCAGAACCTGTAAGAGCATATCAACATCGTGTGATGCATTCCAACCTAATTTGTTTTGGTCCGAAATTTGACTCGCGCCTTATTAGTTTTCTTGTACGACGGTGATAAAAATACTAGGAAAGAAATTCAAGCAATTTGCTAGGAGATAACGAGCAACATTTGGCGGATTCAAATGATGATTTGAGCATCAAGTTAATAACTCCACAAGGGTATCGAAAATACCTTTTCACTTTATTTATTTCTCAAATCATTATTCTTTTATGTTTTATTTATTCTTCAAAGCAAATTTGCTATATATCTCTATAATATTATTTGAAAAGTCAGTTTCAATTTTTTTTTTTGTAGACAACACTAGCAGTTCGTGTAGACACATGACTGGCTACTTCAAGCAACATGGGATTCAATTTCATCACCACTGTATTACCACTGCACCTTCCATCCACTTTATCTGGTCCTGTCAACATCAGTTTCTTCTGAGCTAATGACTTAAGCCTATATCTCTCTGCTTTTTGACCCAATCACATGTTCCATAACGGATGCTGCTATGGTAAAAACCATCGCCATCTTTGGCATCAACACTGACTTCCTCAGTATACATGTGAAAGGAACCGCTGCGTGTAGTGCTACAAACCAAAATGCTGAGAACTTTTCAGTGTGTTCTCTCCAAACCCTTGAAGGCACGTTCAGAGACCATCCCCAGCATCCCAATCACTAGTACATTGGATGATAAAAGTTGTGACCAATTCTATTTTTGAATTGGTCTAATTCGAGCTGTAATTTTTTAAAATTTTATGTAGTTATTAGTCTATTAAATATTAATTTATAGTTTATATTGTATTTCCTAGTTATGTAATTTTGTTTTATTCAACCAGCTACGTTTTTACATCATACATATAAAAATTAACACTTAATTATGATTTTATTCTAAAATATATATAAATTTATTAAATACAAGTACAAAAATTCAGGAAAAAAAAGAAAAACAAATTAAACTCTTCGAAAAATATCAAAATCTTTTAACAGACAACAATAATTGTTCCTGTAGAACAAGATTTGTATTTATTATTTAAAATAGAATAATAGAAGTACGAAAACTTTTGAAATATATAATTATATAAATTTTCTTCTGTAAAATCCAAAGACTATGTTAGCGTTTACAAATCGCGTCACAATCCACTTTGATGGCTTTACACCCTTTCGATTTTTGCATGCAACACCATTCAGTATCACTTTTCCTATAGCAATATGGTTGCCGAGCATCAACTTTGGAGTTAGCAGCTGTATAATTAAAAAAATAAAAAATAATTGATAATGATAGAGAAAATGATTATGTTCTTAACGGAGTGATGATAAAGGATTCGAACAAAAACCTTCATGAACACTACCAAGGAAAATCAGGACGATACAAAATAAAGCAAATTTTGATGTTGACATTGTATTTCTTTTTTTGCAAATAAATGTTTTGTTAGTTTTTTTTTGTGAGCAACAGAATGTTTTGTTAGTTTGTGTGATATATAAGGCCATATATGTGAAACATATATAGAAGTCTTTGAAATTTTTTGTATGATGATCCGGAAAAAGCTAAAAGAAATTGACTGGTTAGGTTTTTTATTTTTTATTCTAAAAGATTTTCTGAAATTTCATCTTTGTGTTTATAAAACATATCATCACCTAAAAATATCAATTAACCACAACCATATATGTAATGTTGAAACATTCAATATGTAGCTAAAATCAATTTAGCTAAGGATAAGCTACTAATTTTGTTATTTACTAATTTTTTCATAGATAAAAAATAATCTAGAAATTTTTAATAGAATAATTTCCAGTTATTATGAGAATAAGACTTGAGTCAAGCGGGATATAACATTTTAATAGGTTCTATTTTATATAAAATTTCTAATTTTTAGATAATTTTTTTATGCATTTATATATAAATAAAATATGTTCTTCAACATATGAAAAATATGAAATATGTTAATATATATTATGAAAAACAGATTTTATTATATAATAATCAAGATATTATATACTATTACTGAATACAATATTCGATAAATTGCATATTTAACTAAAAATAATGTCAAATATTTTAGTGGATATCAAAATGACACATTTTACGTGACAATCATTTAATAAAATAGTAGTGTGAGTATATAACATAATTGCAATGTGAGTAAGATTATAAGTATTTTTGGAAGATTCATCTTAGAGTTAAGAAAAGCTTAAACTTATCATCTATATTAATTTATAGAAAATCATTTTCTTTCATTTTTTTAAAAATGTGTATAAAATAAGAAAAACAACACTTATTCTTATCTTCCACAAACATTTTAAAAATTCTCAAATACAATTGGCCGAAAAAAACAACTATACATATATCGAGTTTTTCAAAAAAGAAACATAAAGCTTTTAGCAGACAACACTAGCAGCTCGTGTAGATACTGGACTTGCTACTTCAAGCAACATGGGATTCCATTTCATAATCACTTTATCACCACCGCACCTTTCATCCACTTTACCTGGTCCTGTCAACATCAGTTTCTTCTGGGCTACTGACTTGAGCCTGTACCTCTCTGCTCTTGACCCAATCACTTGTCCCATAACAGACGCTGCTATGGTAAAAACCATCGCCATCTTAGGCATCAACACTGACTTCCTCAGTATTCCAATGAAAGGAACCGCTGCGTGAAGAGCTATAAACCAAGATGCAGAGAACTTTTCAGTGTGCTCTCTCCAAACACCTAGAGGCACGTTCAGGGCCATCCCCAGCATCCCGATGACTAGTACTTTGGATGATAAAGGTTGTGGCCGGAGGTTCTTGGCGAAAGCTGTTTTAGAGATGGCTGCTCGAGCTGCGACTATTGCTTTAGGACACTTATATTGCATTCCGGGAGGGGGTTGCAGGAGCTTTGCCACGAGGGGTGCCACACCACTTACAGCTCGATATGATTTAGCAATTGGGCAGTTTCCTGTTTGAAGCCAGTCGTCACTCATAGACTCGTGGTTTCCTCCCTGTAAGAGCAAAAACAACAAGTAAAGCTATGTTTTAAGAGTTTTATCTTATAAGCCAAGATATTGTACGTTTCAGGTGTTTTTGAGTTATGATCTCATACCTTAGAGGAAGAATCTTTCTTTTTGGAAGAGTCTTTCTTCTTCTTTTGATTCTTAAACATGTCGGAAAAAGCATCAAATCCAAAAGGCCCTCCATGACCAAAGGAGGAGAGACTAATTGTAGCCGCCTTAGCAGCAAGTGGATGGAATGCAGGAGAGGAAAGTTCAGGCTTCTCTGCTCCAGCACGAGGGCTGTCCGAGAGAGGGACAACACCATCTTGACCATGGAAAAGCCTAAATGCAGTGTCAAAATTGGGTCCATCCTCAAAAATTGGTCCTTGCCCTGCTCGCACCTGAAAGGAGTTATTAGTAGTCAGTAAAAGCATCTGATGGATGGAGACAAGATTTAAAACTGTTTCGGTGTGTTGCTTACAGGCAAGGGAAAAGGCAAGGATGAAGAGAAGGAGAGGTTAGTAGGCTCATTGATGTTCCTCAAGAAAGGGCAACGGAGAATGTCTAAGTGAGTTTGGTTTGAATCTCCAGGACAGTTAGCCATTCTTGTTGTGCTGAGAAGAATCTGAAACAAGTACAAACAAAGGAAGCATGAGACCTGCGTCCTTACAACCACATAAACTACAAATGACAACACTAAACCATTGAAGAAAACAAAAAAAAACTAAAATAAACAATTTTTGAATACACACAGTTATACCAAAATCTTAATTCCAGATTATAGAACCGAAAAGTCGTTAAATTGGAGAACAGTTAGCATACAATTGCAAACGACCTCTGAATCAAACCACTAGGCCTAAATCAGATCAATCACACGTATAATATAATCAATGTGAAATCACAAAAACTGGGTAAGAACAGAGAGAAGACACAAAACATACGTTTAAGCAGACCGCTGATGAGAGAGAGGCGTGTGTGAGGAACGATCTAAAATGCCTCTAGAAATGGAAAAGAGAGAAAAGGTTGTTCAATGTGGATGAGATGAGAAGTTAGTTGGTGGAGATTTGGAGAGGAAGATAGGTGGGTTTGGTTTGATTTTTAAGAAGAGAGCGCAAACGAAAGCTGGTGAAACTTTCTCTCTTCTTCGTGTTGACCACGCGCTCGCTCAGCCCTTTTCCTTTGACAAATTCGCGTTAACAATAATGCAATTTGCATGCGTTTCTTTGAATATGAATTTAATAATGATAAGTCTTCCTAACCAACCAACTACTATTTTGTCAAAAAGTCTTCTTTGCACCACATTTTACTTATTTTCTTTGTTTTTCTTCTTCTTTCTACACAAGTTACGGGCCAGCAACTCCCTCTGTCTTGTTCCATCCTCTTTTCCTCCTTTGACCCCCAAAGATTCCGTTTTCATGTAGGAAAACGATATAGTTTAGACTCTTTAAGATTTGGTATATGATTTTAAATTTTAATTTCTGTTTAGGGGATGTGGAGACAAGTTTTAACAACTCTTTTTGTGTAACATCTAAAGAATGTTCGAAAACTTTTTAAATTTTATTTAATTAGGGGGTTCAGTTAAGGAATGATAATTATGATGAGTGGGATAATAACAGATAGACCACTTAAATTAGTTGATAGGGAAATTACGGAAACACTTTTGCTGACTAAAGTTTATTTACACCTAATAATGATCACGCTAAGCCCAGTTTGATAAAAAAAAAAGGATCTTAAGCCCAATGGGCTTTTCTATATTTATTTATCGAATAGACCTCTCTCTGTGGGTTTAAGACTTTAGTTGACAACATTAGGGGTATTCAGTCGCCGGCCGAGACAAATTAGATTTCAAACAGAGACACTCTATGGATCCCTCCGCCGCCAACAGTCCTGAATTGGTTCGCCTCCTTAATGTAAGTCTCTAATGAAACAAAGCTAATAAACTCTTTGGTTTAATCTCACATGGAAATCGAGGTTTATAGCAAATTAGGTAATTAATGGTTGGTTGAAACCTATGAACAGGAAGAAGAGCAAAGAGTGATGATGAACGAAGCGGTGGCGAAGCTGACAAGCGTGTGTTGGGACAAATGCGTTACAAGCGCACCGAGTAGCAAGTTCAGCTCGAGTGAGTATTCATGTCTCACACACTGTGCTAAGCGTTACGCTGACATGAGTATGGTCATCATCAGAAGCTTTCAGTCCAAGAAGTGACCTTTTTTTACTCCTTTTTTAACCACCTCCTTTGCCTCTTTAACTTAGTTTTTTTTTTTTTTTTACTTCTGGAAGAATTAGGTAACTATTTAGATTGGATTTAAAAACAGGGGTTGTATTTATGATTTACTGAGATTTGTAGAAACTTTATCATTAGAGAATAACTTCTTTTTTTTTATGAAAACTTGATTATTCAGACCTCTCAGTTATAATTGTTGCAGCTTTGTTTCATTCTCATATTTTTTTATATATATTCCATGAGATGGTGAGTTTGTTCGCCCAAATTCGCGCTTTTAACAGATAACGGGGAAGCTCTCTGTGAGGCAGTAAAGATTAAAATACATTTTCTTAAGCAATGGCAAATAATATAAAAAAGAGTGCTCCTTATATTTATGTCATCATTGGCTATGTGAAATTCTGGAATATTATTGAGAGTGTAGTCAGTAGTGAGTTGAAGAGAAATGTAATCAGTCAAACTTTTAAGCTCCACTGAAACTTGATTTTAGAGGTGAAGACATGACTAAAAGCTAAGGTGGAAGGCAATCCACTAAAGGGTAACGGCACTTCAAGTGGACGATGAACTTAGAGGTAACATATTACACACACACTGACACAAGTCTTACTTCGAGTTTTTATTTTTGCAGCTTTAAAGCCTTGAAGTGTATATATACGGGGCTACGTTTTTCAATGTATATATGAGGGATATAAATGTAAGGGCCAGCTTTGTTCTCCTTGTGTCTTGTTGGCGTTGGCCATTTTTTGATTAATAGGTTTTTGTCTTTGTATATGTGTTCACCTATTACCCTTTGTTTGTCATGCTTTTAACTTCAGAACCCTAATGTATATACAACGAAGAGACAAAAAAAATAAGACTTTTAGTTGTTCTTTTAGTGATTTAGTGGCCATATTTTTTGTTTCGGTAAAATAAACCACAACAAATTCTATAACTTTGTTTGGTATTTGAAAAAGTATGTCACTCACTAGAGCTCTGTTCGTCGAGCTATATATTATTGGTAACTTATACAAATAAGTAAAGCTCTTTTGTTAGCAGTAAAGCATACTCTAGATTTTACCATTTACATATTGCAATAAATTTTTAAGATTTGTATAATATTCTGTAAATACCGTATTATATCCTGACATACCCAAATACTTTCGTATATATCCCTGATTTTATTATTTACATATTGCAATAACATTCTTAAGATTTGTATAATATTCTGTAAATACCGTATACTAATCTGATATGTCGGAATGTTTATTCTGATTCTAATGTACTGCTTATGTATTGAAGTAGATGCTCTTCTCCTACAATTCTCTATTTTGGCGACATCTTTTTTAGTCTCTCAGTTAAATATATTTAAATTCGAATGTGTGAAGAAAAAGAGTGAAGAAAGTGAGGACGAGGAGGAAAGGTTGGGAACGACTGTTAACCATCTAATAAGGAATCTGCATGGTTGGATGGAACTACTGCCTTTGACCATAGAAGAACCACAGAGACTCCATAAAGTAAAAGGTTTCATAGCTACTTGTTTCACTTATTTTAAATGTAAAAGTATTTATTTAATCAGTATTAGTTTTTGATTAATTGAGAGGGACCAAAAACGAAAGGTGGGAATAATAATCAAGATGCAAATGGGTTTTGATAGTCAATCCTTTTCATACGCTTTTTGTTTCAACCATACGTTTTCTGTTTCTCTTTTGATAGGTTATTTGTTATATTTTACTTTTCTCAAAGTTACTAATAAATACATTAAGTAATGAATTGATACAACATAACCTTGTATACTGAAGTGAACATTATACAATTACTACAAAACGAAGATGATTCATTCAACTTATTTATTCCACTAATTAGACGGATATATTTATTGAAAGTTGATGTTAAATGATACTAAGTATAGCAATTGTTAGAAATAAGAACTTCCACAAGAAACATGTTAATTTTCAGCATATTTAGCAATGGTGACATGGTCCATGTGGTCTCGATCAGTACATGTGGCATACTATACCATGCCAATGATATTCAAATTTGCATTTACAACAAGTCTGTCTTTGAATGGCAAAAGACGAAGTAAAATCGTGATTTTAGCTTAATTTTACTAATTGAATGTTGCCGATTTGATAATATTTTAGGATAGGAAAACATAGATTATCTCACAATCAGTTGAAGATTGTTATGGATACGATAACATTGTGTATATAATTAGATTAACACGAAAAGTAGCCAAGTGGAACATCAAAAAGCATGATAGTGAATCTTACCTATACGGTTTACACACGGGACAGTCGGGTCTAGTTAAGAACTTAAGATGAAACGCACTATTCTTTGTTTTATACATTTAGTGTTTGCTTTCTTCTCAAATTGTTTCTATACATTATCACAGGGAACACATAATATTATCATTTGTTGTTACGAAAGCTAATTAAACAAAATTAGTTACGGACCTAATTTTGGCGGCCAAATCATGAAGTTCAAGAGTGCTTAAAGACAACATAAAATATGCCACACGTGGCATACACCTAAACGTTCATTTTTACTGGTACGAGGAACAAAAGGGGTGAACATGGGTTGTATGATTGTATCTCAATGAAACGTCAATAGTAATAACATGCAATCATTTCTTTTTAGTGTGGGTTAATGCCTCGCATGATTAACTGAACAAAATAATAATTATTATCCATGCAAATATCTACCGTAGATAGTTGATTGTCATGTAGTTAGATGTTAGTTGATGGCAAAATCCACCTTTTCAAAGTAATTAGAACCATTGTAATTTTATATATCATATTAGGATTATAATTGTAATACTTTTTTATCACGAGCTCATGCAATTTTATGATACATACAAACAAATATTGATGGCATATGGAAATCTTACAATTTTGAAAGTCGTCGTGCTCGTTCTTGGATTCTGTAAGGCTAAAGTTCTTGCATGACGCCAGTTAATGGGAGTGTTTATGGAATATATATATATATATATATATATATATATATATATATATATATACATTAGTAGTTTTTACCACGCAATTGGAATGATAAAAGTTCAACAAGAAAATTTTGGAATGGTAATTCACAAAATCAAAATATAGCTATGTGTACGTAAAAAAAAAACTAAACTAATCAGCTAGTTGAGTCTTGGTAGAATACTGGAAAATTACATGATTGTATAAATATCTTTAATCGATATTTATTTGAATGGTTGGCTAGAAAGCTAATAGCCGATCGATGGTGTATTTTATTGGTCATGCCAGAAGGACAAATCACCAATAAGTTAAGCACAATATTATTTATATCTTCTTTGGTTTAAAGGAAAAAGAAAGCTCACATAATAACTACGATAATAATATAAAACCAAGGTTTGGCATAAAAGTTTGACACAAATGTAATACACGCCAAGAGTGCATACCACATAAAATTATGGAATATTTTCCGTTTTAAAAAACTTTAGAAATATCTGAGACCATCAATATGCAATGTTCTTCTCTCTCTTATACCATGAAAACGACGACGTTCTCAACATATAACCATTGCACCCTCTCTCTATATATAGTATGATTGGCCTCGTAGTTAAAATTCATATCGAAGAAAACTCAATTAGAGCTAACAAGAGTTGAACATCTCCTCTTGTTTCCTTCTTCATTTTCTTCGGAAATCGCATCCAAAAGTAGTAAAAAACAATCAAAATGGCTCTAAACGTATTGGCGTTTACATTTGGAATCATGGGTAAGTATCTAACCATTCATCAACAACATCAAGTTAATACAAAGATGTAAACTATACATTATATGTACATGTCTATTTTAACACATGTGTTTATCTGCTAAATATGTAATTTTCTGAAAATATTTGCTAATATCTTTCACTCATGTTATCTTTGTTATATGTATTTTTGCAGGCAACATCATATCATTCATTGTTTTCTTGGCACCAGTGTAAGCATCAACGTCTCAGACACTCACTTTCTCGTTCATATTTTCTTTATCGTATAAATTTTTAAAAATGTTCTTGATATTATTTTTCATGTACGTGAAGGCCAACTTTTGTGAGGATCTGCAAGAAAAAATCGATAGAAGGTTTTCAGTCACTTCCCTATGTGTCAGCGCTCTTTAGCGCTACGTTATGGATTTACTACGCTATGCAGAAAGATGGATCAGGCTTACTTCTGATTACCATAAACGCTGTGGGATGCTTCATCGAAACCATCTACATCATCCTCTTCATTACCTATGCTAACAAGAAAGCTAGAGTATGCCCCTGTATATACCTTTGTTATATTAGAAAATGCACTTGTATAAAGTTAGCTGATGATAGTATAAACAACCATGTAGATATCAACTTTGAAAGTTCTTGGGCTTTTGAACTTCTTGGGGTTTGCCGCTATTATCCTTGTCTGTGAGCTCTTGACCAAAGCATCGAACCGTGAGAAGGTCCTTGGAGGAATTTGCGTCGGGTTTTCCGTTTGTGTCTTCGCAGCTCCTTTGAGCATCATGGTACGTATTGCTACATACACGTATGTGTTAGGAAAAAGCCATGCTACTTCCTTTGAACAATACAATATCTTTAGCTCTTTCCTTTTTTTTTTTTTTGCTAAAAACTTTAGCTCTTTCTTTTTCTAGTATTAGCATCTCTTTATGTTTACGTATATTATAGTGTTTAACATGTGAAAAGTAAAAAATTGATTGCAGAGAGTGGTGATACGAACAAGAAGCGTGGAGTTTATGCCCTTCTCTCTATCATTGTTTCTTACACTCAGCGCCATTACGTGGCTCTTCTACGGTCTTGCTATCAAAGACTTCTACGTTGCAGTGAGTCTTCTTTCTTATGATATTAAATCTCTAATAAGTATATAATAAATTAATAATGGACAACGCAAGTATATTATTATTGCTGGTTCATGTTTAAAGGGAAAGAGTTTCCCACCACCTTTAAATTAGTCTCTTTTCCCCTAATTCCTTCTATATAAAGAAGGCGAATATATGATTTGAGCCGTACACTACTTTGGCTTTATGCTTACAATCATATATTATATGACATGCGTCAGAGAAACCGAGACAATTACATTGTTTTTTCTTTTATATGTCGGAAGTTAATGAGATTAGTACTGTTCTCAACAAATGATTAATGGAATTACTGATGATGTGATTTACTCTTTTGATTATAGCTTCCAAACATTATGGGTGCGTTTCTCGGAGCAGTTCAAATGATTC